AATTAGAAATTTAGAGGAACAACTAAAACAAACCCAAGCCGAGAACAACAATTTAAAAACCTTAATTAATTCAGAAAAGCAAAATAACCAATCCTTAAAGCAAACTATCACCAATTTAACGCACGAAATCCATGCCGACAAACAAAACCACACTAACCTCCTAAATGCTTATCAAAAAGCCTTCAATGATAAAGTAAAAGCCGAAAGACAAGTTAATTATTATCAAGACCAATTAAAAACTCTTGCTAAAAGTCTTTATCAGTGAAGTAAAATTAACTACTATCAACAATTAGAGCAAGAGCAAAAAGCCCAAATCGAACAACCATTACCTTTTAAACCACCAAACAAATAAGCATGAAAAACCAAGAACTCAATCAAGTTCAACGACAAGCAAAAATCCTCCTCACTAAGTCCATAATTAAAAATTGAGATAAAACCACTGAAAAAGAGAAAAAAGAAATCAAAAAGTGATGACAAGAAACTTATGGAGAGTTTAAGGAAAAAAAACATTAATGAATAAAAAACCCACTCCTGAGGAAATCATCCGCAAAAAAGAATATGTCCGTTTTCTCAACACCCAAATCTATAAACTAGCTAACCAGCATAAATATCTCACTAAACAACTAACTAAACTAGAAGCCCAATTAAAAGACTACCAAAAAGAGAAAGAGAAAACAGAAAAGTGATTGAAAGAGAATTAAACACAACCAGCACAGTAGGTAGGATAGTGATCTAATTCCTTTAAATTCTTTGCTACCGAAAAAGCAGTCTCTTGTTGGTATTCACTTTGGCATTTATCACAAGTGAAGTTGGTATAAGAATAAGAATTTAGTTTTGGTTGAGACTTAATTTTAGGTTTACACTCAATTACTTTAACATACTTTTCTAACTCTTTTTTGACTGGACTTCTTTTTCTCGTTCATAACTTTCTAAGGCTTTTTCCAATATTTCCACCATCAGACACTTTTCCTCTACTGCTCTATTTTTCAATTGCCAATAAAATTCCTCCCTGACTTTAAAATTAAGTTGCTTAGTTCTCCCACTAATTCTTTTATCGCTAGGAGCAGTTTCAGGAGCCTTTATATTTTCGCTAATTTCTTGCGGTATCTCCCCAAATCTTTTTCTTTTTACCATATATTAATTTTATATCTACCTCTATATTTATATCTCTACTTTAATACCTCTACCTGTTTTAAAATAAAACTAACCAACTTCTGAACTTGTTTTTTTAAACTAGGAAAATTAACCTCACTAATACTCTTTCCTTCACTTTGGGCTTGGCGGTAGGAGGCTTTTTCGTATAAATAAAAAGGAGCAAAAGGATATCCGCTTTCAGTTAAATATTCTTGGGTGGCTAATACTTCGGCGGGTGTAGATAAGTGATTAAGTATGAATAATAACTTATTCTTATTAATTTCTTGGGCTTTTAGGGCATTGAATTCACGGAGAGCGGGTAATAAGTCATCTCGGCTGGCTCCAACTGGTTGAATTATTAAGTTTGCTCTTTTAGCAATTTCTAAGGTTCCTTGGCTAGTTCTCGCGGGACTATCAATAATAATTAGGTCATATTGTTTGGTGCAAGGTCAGATATCTTTTACTTGCTGAAACACTTGGCTAGTAATAGCAGGATTTATTTTATTTTCTTTTCGCCACTGGGTTCATTCTCAACTAGTTTTCTGTTGGTGGTCGCAGTCAGCCAATAAAGTTTTGATTTTCTTTTTAGTGGCTTCGGTGGCAAGGACACGGGCAAGAGTAGATTTTCCTACTCCTCCTTTTTGACTGATAATGGCAATTATTTTAGGAAGATTATTATCTTTCATATACTAATATTTTATATACCTCTATAAATATATCTCTATCTATCTACCTGTAATTTATTACTATACTTCCCCAATATTAGCCAAAATTTTTTCTCAATCAATTTCTTTGGCTTTTACTCTCCTAGCTAATTCTAAAAGCAATTGTTCGCTACTAAGTGATTTAACTAATTCTAAACCCTCTAATACTTTCCTTTCCACTTCTCGCCTAGTTTTTAGGTCAAATGTTCCCAAGTGCTTGATTATTCTTTGCTTGTCAATATTTTTTATTTGGTCGCACAGAACTTTCCCTTTCTCATTATTGAAATTGGAATAAACTTCTCATCCTTCATAAAAAGGTTTGAGGGTATGAGTTAAAGGAATCACGGTAATTCGACTACTCTTTTTATTTTGGATATCATTCGAAATTACTACCGCCGGGTGAGGGTCTTTAATTTCCGTGTTCTTAACATTTTTTTTGAATTTACCTTTTATTAGTGGGTCAAAGCGAATTAAGTAGACTTCACCTCGCCTAACTTCTATTTTTTTTTCTGAATGAGGTCTAATTTTAATGCTAACCATTAATTACTAAACTTTTCCTCATCCTCCGCTTGTATTCTATCCCATTCGGTAATTTCCTTTTTCCTTTGTTCGTCTTTTTCGGCTAATTCTCAATCTTTTGCTAATTTATTCTGCTTAACTTGGTTAAGGTTATCGTAGTTGTCTACCAAGCGACGTAGATTATTCATTACCATAAATTTCTTGATTTCTTTAACATCACTTTTTATTTCCCTTATTCCGTGGATAATTTCTTGGTTTTCAGCGACAGATTGTTCCTTACCTTTGTGCGGACTTAATTTTTTGTGATGAATGTTGTCTTTCATTAATAAGTTTTTAAATAATTAAGGAATTGTAAGGATTACCTTGGTTTTAGTTTCTGTATTTACAACTAGCGACTTATTTTCATCGCCCAAGCAGTTTTTTATCACTACTTCCCCGATATCCCAATTAATCCAAGGTTTAATTTACCCTTTTCCGAATTCAGACAAATTTCCCTTTTTCTGTTTCGGCTAATTTAGTGCTAATATTTACTTCTTTAAGTTTTTGTTCGCTTTTTTTATAGTTTCTCAATTTTTAATCTCTTTTGCTGTTTTTTTGACTTTCTAAAAGTTTTTAATATTTTTCGTGGAGAGATTACTCTATCATTATCATTTATTAGAAAGTTTTTATTTTTAACAATTCATTTTGACTTAAACCCTGCTCTTTTTCCTTGTAAACAAGCCAAAAGTAGAAAAATTACTACTTAATTTTCATCAATTCCCCAGAAAACATTTTGGGGAATAGCACCCTACGGGGTTGGCATTTCATTATGAAAAATAATTTCATAAATAATAACGGAGCAACCCTCCAACATACGAAAAACAAAAAAACTTTGGTAGAAAGCCGAATTGATGAACTAAAACACCAAGAACAAAAGATTATTACCGAATTAAGCAGTTGAGAAACTAAACAAAAAAAAGCAGATAGATTACTAGGAAATTTAAGAGAAATTGAGTTATTTAGCACCAAATTTCTAGCCGAAGTAGTTGCCAAAGAAAAAAACCAAGAGCAACCCGATAATTGAGCCTGAGAATATTTGCTTAAAAATAAAATGGAATTTGCTCTCAAATTTGAACCAGCTTCCAAGATTTTTTATGAATTGATTTTCCAAAAAACCGAAAACCAAGTTAGTTATCTCAAAATTCAATTACGGGATATCCAAAGTCAACTTGCTCACCAAGAACGGATATTCGCTCGGATTGAAATCCGTCGCCAAGGTCGTGAACTTTTAACTTGTGAATATAAAAACCGACTAGGCTGTTTAGGGGTTTATCAGTGCGATAATTGTCAAACTAATTACTCCACAACTGACAACCAACAAGCCACAGAAATGCAAAGCATTCCCGGAGGGCAAATTACCAAATAATCATGGCAACTATCGAATTAAAATTTCAAGGAACTTTTAATAAGTCTGATTATTTATCGGAATTTTCCTGTGGCAGTTGTCAGCACTACCTTACGGAGCAGGATATTACCACCGGCAATTATCGCCTTTATGTTAGCGACTATGCTAATGAAGTTGATAAGGAAGAGTTTTTTTCCGAGCGGTTAGGTCGTTATCTAACCACTTACGGCTTAAACTTCTGACTAAAAGCCATAGAACATCAAGAATGTCCAGAGGAGGGGGAATAACCTCCCTCCTTTCTCCCCTTTTCGCACATCTTCGTTTGTGCTTTTTAAATTTCGACCCTTTTTTATTGGTTAAATCTACTTAACTATTTTAATTAAACAATTTCCTGTTTACATTCGCTACAATTATGAGCCTTAGCACAACAGTAGGCACAGATTAACCTTTCGTTTCAGTGTTTATCTCTTTTGTCAATTATTTTCACATGACAACAAGGACAATGTCTATCTTCTGTCATATATATAATTTATTTTTTCGGACTAATCTGCTGTGCATTGATATGATCTTTGCTTCAATTATAGATTTCTCAATAGTTATAAAAACTTTCTCAATTTAAGTTTTCAGATTTATTTGCTTGTATTAGTAACTCATTGATAAATTCTTTTTGGTCTTTGTTTAACTTGGAATTTTTGGTCTTTTCTACTACTTTTTGCTTAATTTGAAATTCCTGTTTGTCTTTTCAAACTTCTAAATCGTAGTGTTGTTGCAAGTTTAAAAACACTTCGGGTTCAATTTTAAAATAGTTTGATAATCTTCAAGCTATTTCCGGGTTAATGTTGCTTTTTCCGGCTATTAAGTCCTCTAATTGGTAAAGTGGTAAGCATAAATTTCATGCTAATTTCTCCCTCGTTAATTGTAAAGGTTGAAAGAATTGTCTTTCAAGTGTTTTGCCAGGATGAACCGGAGGAATTTTTTCTATTTTAGTCATGATAGTCTATTAATTCAACATTATAAGCATTACCATCTTTTCATTCAAAACATATTCGATATTTTGTCTTACCAACTCAAAAGGCTCGTTGATTTTGTCGCTTTCCTTTTAATTTGTGCAATCGTAAACCGGGAACTCGTTCTAATTGCCGTAAGTCGGTGATAGAGTTTAATAAGTTTAAACCATCATAAGCAGTTTCTCAAATGGCTAGTAATTGTTTTGGTGGTTTTCTTAATCATACTCTTTTTGCTAGTTTGCCCTTAAAATCTTTAATCACATTGCTTATTAACTATTTTAAGATAATTTTTTATTAATTTCTTCTTTTTTTATCACCTAAAATTTATTCCCGACCACTTTCTCCTTTTAATTCTGTCCTTTCTGACAATTATTTGGTTTCTTTGGGGAGGATTAAGGATGTTTTTAGTCTTATTTTCACTTTATTCCCTACCTAATAGCCAGTTAGGGGAGGATTAACCAGCTTTCTTCTTTCCTCAAAAATCATTTATATACCACATGTACACCTTAAAACCACCTTTAAAAACCAGTTGCTTTAAATGCCAAAAAAAGTTGGTAGTTAATTTTTCTCCCCCCCTGCAACGTTATAGCAACAAAAACCATTGGGGCTATTGAACCGACCAAAAGAAAAACCAAGACCAATACATGTGTGATACTTGCTTAATTGACCTCTATCGCAATCACAAACACAATTATTTAGACTCCATCACCGACAGCAAAAAAAGACGTACCTTCCGGGATTACTTTGGTGGTAGTTTTCCACTAACTAGAACTCAACAAAAACTACTAAAAAAAGGTGACGGTAAACTCCACGACATATTAAGAAGCAAAGGAATTGACCTGGACAAAGAAGGACTAACTGATCACTTTAAAAGCTGACAACAAACCATTGCAAAATTGGTGCAAGAAAATGCTCTTAAAGACAAAAAAATCCAAGAATTAGAAAAAAAACTTACTAAAAAAGAGAAAAAAAAGTAGAAAACTCTCTGAAAAATCAGTGTCTTTGATTCTTTTTAAAACAGATATGTTAACAGTTCTGTATAAAATAAATTATATGTGTTGATATATTAAACCAAAAAGGATGAAATAAACAGTTGCTAATCTGTCAAAATTAGCAAAAAAATATCAAAGAATATAATCTAATAATATGAAAATAAATAATAATAAAATTAAATCATTGTTTTTGTTAAGTCTAGTTGGTTCTGGCTTAGCAAAAGAAGAAAATTCAAAGAACCAAACTGAAATTTTCTCCGATGGGATAAATCTTAATTCGCTACCACAAATGGCAACTAATCTTACTAAAAGAGAAGATAATCCTGAACCAACTTTGGTTTTTGCTGGTTATCCAATATCTTTGTCTGTTCCTTTACAAGATGATAAAGGAGTTGATAGAATTTACACAAAACAAAGCACAGCAGGTTTTATGATTGTTAATGAGGATAAAAGTAGTAGTTCATACTGCACAGCTGGTAGAAATGATGGCTTCATAACTTCTGTATCTTGTCTTCCATACGAATATGGATTTAGTAATGCTGTAAGTCTTGAAGTTTATGATTGAAGTCGTTTAAAGTTGTTAGGAACAATTATAGAATTTTATGATACAGCAGATCCTTTTTATGATACAGCCGATTTTGCTTATATAGCTGATACTAAAGTTGATGGAAGCGAACCTATTCCTGAAATAAAACTTATTCCTTATGTTGTCGGAGAATCAGATGGTGAATCAAAACCTCAACTTTATCCAGTTGTTGATCAAGGTTTTGATACGTTAGGAACGAGAGTATGTGCTTATGGAAGTGGTAGTGGTTATCAATGTGGTAATCTTGCTGAAATTAATGTAGAATTAGCGATTCCTGATCCTTGAAAGGTAGCAAGTGGAACAGTAAATTTTAGAAACTTCAAAGGTCTAAATAAAGTAGATTTAGGAGTAAATGGATTTTATACTGAGGAAGATTTAGGTGGTCCAGTTTTTTATACAGTATTTGATAAACAACTAGATAGAACTGTTGCCCAAGCCTTAGGTCATATCACTCATTTCGATAATAGTGATCCCAATCATAAACTTCTTTACTACACAGCCCTAGATAAAGTTTTTGCACAGTTTCTTGGTTCTCGCAATTGTTCCTACAATTTACTAACTTACAGCAAAACCAACGCTCAAGAATATGACCAATTACTAGCCCAAATTGAAATTCCAACTAAAAAATAACATTTTTATAATATCTTATGAGTAACTTACTTAAAATCTTTTTAATATTTAATCTTTTTTCTGCAACTGCTTCCTCAGTCAATAATTCCTCAATTCCGC